AGATAGATAGATAGATAGATAGATAGATAGATAGATAGATAGATAGATAGATAGATAGATGATAGATACACACACACACTGTATGTATATGTACGCATATATATACATATATACAAGTTGCATGCTAATAGATAACCCAGCTAAACAAAGAACTCAGCACCCTGTCCAATGAGCCTGTAGTCCCAGACACTTTTCCCAGATGTCTCTCCCACTGTTTGAACCCCATAGCATATCACAGGCAATGTTTATACTCCTCCCTTGGCTGTATACAGTGAGTGCCAATTTTTGGAATGTTAAAATGAGTGGCTTTCTCATTGACCAGGTGGGAAGAATGCTGTTCAATTCACATTCCTCAGCATTTAGGATGAGAATATTCACTAAGTGGAATGAGAGCAATTCTGTTGCTCTTGAGGGAAGGGGAGATGTTGGTGTGGAATCCCACATCCACGATATGATACTATCAAAACAGTTGGAGGAAAGAAAAGGTTTTCATGCTTCCTTAGGTGAGCAAACAAATTAATTAATATATAAATTAATCAGGAGCAGCAAATGAAAGCCCAATGTAATAAAGAATCATACACTTGTTTCATGAAAAGGATCTATAATAGAAAGAAAGTGTTAAGATGAGGGGTTCCCCCAGTCATACTAGGATTTAATTCATTTTAATGCACTCAGCTTTTCCCTTTTTTAGGAAAAATATCATGTGTCAACACCACCTGGAATTTGAAATGTTCCAGCTTGGAGCAACCCAAATATCTTCCCTTAATGGGTACAAGATTCGTGGGTGAGGTACTTGGAATGACCAAATGTGAAAACCTGAGAAATCTTGAAATTGCAAACAATTTATTCCAAAATGCTTCTGTTAATTTTTTCTGTGGAGAATAATCTAACAGTTGTTGTCTAAGCCTTGATGATTAGAAAAACACCTCCATTTTAATTACATTGGTTTCTTTGAATTCTTCTTGAGGATGCAATGTTGTTAGTGGCTTTCCTGAGAGCATCTTTAAATTCTCTGTTCCTCAAGCTGTAAATAAAGGGATTGATCATAGGAGTCAGAACTGTGTAAAAAACAGAGAACACTTTGTTCAGATTTTTTAGTCTGCTGCTTTTTGGTAACATGTAAACAATGATGAGGGTTCCATAGAAACTTGTAACCACAATGAGATGAGAAGAACAGGTAGAAAAAGCTTTTCTTCTGCCAGTGATGGAAAGAATTCTTGAAATGGTTCTGATGATGCAAACATAGGAAGCCAAGGTCATCAGCAAGGCTGGCATTGTACAGGCAGAACCCAGGACAGACATCAATGTTTCTGCTTGGTAAGTGTCACTACAAGCTAGATTTAACAGTGGTGAATAATCACAAAAGAAATGGTCAATTTCATTAGGACCACAGAAAATTAAGTGGGAAACAAGGAATGTAGTGAATGCAGAGGCCACAAGGCCTATCATCCAAGAGGCAAGGGACAAGTAAACACATAACCTGTGGTTCATGATTTTTGCATAGGAAAAGGGCTTACATATAGCTAAATATCTGTCATAAGACATTGTGGATAAGAGATAGCATTCAAAGCAAGCAAAAGATCCAAACAAATAGAATTGGAGGAAACAGCCACTAAAAGAAATCCCATGGTAATCTCTTATAAAACTGACCAAAATCCTAGGAAGGATTACAGAACTATAGCAAATCTCCAAAACAGACAAGTTTGCCAGAAAGAAGTACATAGGCTTATGAAGATTATGATTAGTGAGAACTATTACAGCGATAAGGATATTTCCAGCTATAGTTGCCATATAAATTGCTAAGAACACCACAAAGAGGAGAATCCGAAGTTCAGGAACTATTTTGAATCCTAGAAGCATGAATTCTGTCACCGCTGTTTGATTGCTATCTTCTCTTTTTGTCATTTGTTGTGTTATTCAGTGACTAAGTAGTTGCTGAAAAAGAAATCATATAAATATTAACATTTTCTTAGCACATATATTTCATGCCTAATTTGATCTACTTTAGTTAGGCTCTTGAATACAGTACTAAAGTAGCAAATGGTTTTATGATTATTCTGTGATGGTAGGATATGTAGTAGTATATTTTATTGATTAGTCAATTGACCATATTAAAGCATGAGCATCAGCCACAGTAAGATACAATAAAATGAAATAAAGTGAAGTACAATAAAATAAGATAAAATAGACTACAATGAGATAAAATAGATAAAATATAGTAAGGTAAGATAAAGTAAGGATAAAAAGTAGTATAACATTGTATAAGATAAAATACAGTGCAGAGATACATAATAAGATGAATACATTAAAAATTGAAAACAGTATGTGTTCAGGTAAATTAATCACCTTTGCATGCAACCCCAATGTGTTCTATAAAATCATTCAGTAAATGCTCAAAGGCACAACTTTATCTTCTATTGGCACTTTATATTACATTTCCTAAACTCCATTACAGAATTAGGAATCTGATCATGATCTGAGAGTGAAGGATTTTTCCTAAGTTGCAAAAAGAATGCCATTGGGGAAGGCCTGAATTTTCCTTTTTCTCTCAGAAGCTCAATCCTACGTACTTTTCTGCATTTAAAAACGGTATGAAGGGGAAGAAACCTTCCATCAATTATTTCCTTTCTCTTAGTTTAATTTCCTTCTCTTGT